AGAGGACTGTACCAGGACAAGGTGTTCTGCTTCATCCATCTGAGTGTTCAGGAGTTTCTGGCTGCTCTTCATGTCCATCTGACCTTCTTCAACTCTGGACTCAATCTGCTGGAAGGACAGCAAACAACATCCAAGTGGTTTAAACGGTTTGGAAAACAAGAATTACAGAAAAAAGACAAATCTGCAGAGAAACTCTTCTACCAGAGTGCATTGAACAAGGCCTTACAGAGTTCAAATGGACACCTGGACTTGTTCCTCCGCTTCCTGCTGGGTCTTTCACTGCAGACCAATCAGAATCTCCTACGAGGTCTGCTGACACAGACAGGAAGTAGTTCACAGACCAATCAGGAAACAGTCCAGTGCATCAAGGAAACGCTCAGAACCAATCTGTCTGCAGAGAAAAGCATCAATCTGTTCCACTGTCTGAATGAACTGAATGATCGTTCTCTAGTGGAGGAGATCCAACAGTCCCTGAGATCAGGAAGTCTCTCCACAGACAAACTGTCTCCTGCTCAGTGGTCAGCTCTGGTCTTCATCTTACTGTCATCAGAAAAAGATCTGGATGTGTTTGACCTGAAGAAATACTCTGCTTCAGAGGAAGCTCTTCTGAGGCTGCTGCCAGTGGTCAAAGCCTCCAACAAAGCTCTGTAAGTAAATATGTGATCATTCCTTTTGTTTAGAAAAAAACAATTCTACTTAAAACATAATTTTCGTGTGTAATTAACAAAGTGTGAGTGAGCAGCAGGTATACTGTCGATGTCCACCTTTGTTGGTGGCATTCATGTCATGTTTATGCGGTCTGCTGTCACTTCATCGGCACTCCGCGTTTGGACCGTCGTGGTGGTGGAGTTGCCACTGTTTTCCGGGACAGTTTATCCTGCAGAGCTTTGGACTCTGAGACTTTCCCTTCCTTTGAGTCACAACCTCTTAAGGTCGGTTCAATATATTTTACTGTGTTTTAATCTACTGACCTCTCGGCCCCGCTGGTGTTTTTATCCAGGATTTCACAGACTTTTTATCCTCCATTATTAAACTGGTGAAAGTCTTGATGATCTGCGATTTCAACTTGCACGTGAATGATCTTATGTTGAGATTTGAAATATATATTTTGAATGCGTATTTGTTGATTATATTGTTTTATGTATAAAAGAAGGCCATCTTTAAGATTAGACTCTGTTTTTGCAGACTATGAGCTCCAGACAGAGTGAAACTAAGTTCAGACAGAAGGGTGACAGGTTGCCCTGGCAACAGACTTTAGAAAGAGGAAGTTATTGCAAGCTGCACAGGAATTTTTAGTGCACAGGCATATTAATAAAATCAGACACAGAAAAGAGGAACTGAATAGAAGAAGTTTTGTGTGTAATGAAACTGTGTGTGACGTCGAGAGGTACATAAATAACCTGGCTTTCTTTTTTCTGCTTGAGACTGGCTGATATGAGCAGGCGTTTCTGTGTGTGCTCAGTTTCCATATCCCGGGATATGTAAATAAAGATCATTTTTTAAAGTAAAAGACCACTTTTGAGCCGTGTCTTTTTGGCCCTAAGAATCAAAAGAACCGTTTTTAACACTTACCTGTAGCATGGCCTCTGACTTTTTATCCATTACCGACTCTTTTAGTTGTATTCAGCATGTCTCTGGTCCCACTCACGTTAAAGACCACACCTTGGACCTCGTGTTTTCTCTTGGCTTAGACATAACTCATCTTTG